GTTCCCCAGAGGCCTGCACCCACCTGCTGGGGTGGGGCCGGGCCCTCCTGCCGGCCGGGCGCCCTCTGGGCCCCTGCTATCACGCTGCACTCAGCCCCCCGGCTCGGGGCCAGGCTCTTGGCCAGGTGAAAGTGGGCGGGGTCTCGGCACAGGGCCTGGTACACCTCCAGCAGGCAGTACGCGTCTGTGGCTGGGGGCAGGGGGCCGCCTCAGCCTTGGGCGCGTGCCAGCAGGGGCCTTGCTGCCATGCCCAGGCCCCGGGGCTGCCCCTCGCACATACCAGCGTACAGGAGCTGCTCCTTGCGCAGCGGCCGGCGGTCCCAGTTGGACAGCTGCTGTGCCTTGTCTAGGGGCTTGCCCAGCACCTGCTGCACCAGCAGGCTCAGGCCGCGGGGAGCCCGTGCCTCATCCACTGCCCAGGTCCTCTGGTCTGCTAGCCGCACCTGCCAGACAGCGACCTTGTGCTCAATTCCTCCAAGCCCCCGCCCACCACTCCCACCCCCACCACCTCGGGAGCATGCCCCATCTCCATGCCAGCCCACCCTTCCCTTACAGAGTCTAACTTCCACACGGTCCACCCCGCCCTCCCTGATGCCCTGTCCCCTTGGAGCCCATGTTCCCCTTTCCTGCCCTGCATCCCTGACTGCACGTCCAGGCTCCCCCACCATGTCCTCCCTCATGTCCGTCTGTGTCCCCGGCACTGACCTGCCCATGCACTGACTGCAGGTCCAGGCTGCCCTGTATCTGCTGCCCAGCATTGATGAGGTCGGTACAGAAGGTGCTCAGGCTCTGCAGGTCCCCAGTCATCCCATAACCTGCACATGGGCCACACATGGCGATAGACCCAGCCTTCCTCCTGCCCACCCAAGGGGTGCACCCAGCACCCTCCCTGGCCAGAGGAACAGGCTCACCCAGCTTGGTAATGGAGGGGTCTGAGAGGAGCTGGCCCAGGAACTGAGACAAGGCTTGCGCCCCGTGCCCACCGGGCGGCCTCGCGAGTGCGTGTAGGTCCAGCAGCAGCACACAGCCCTCCACTGCCAGCTGTGCCAGGGAAGCACTGGGCTGGCCCGCCATCCGGAACAGCGGCCGCCACTCCAGGTCCAGGCCAACCACGCCCCCCGGCTGCCAACATAGAGGCCGGGGCCTGAGCAGGGCACCCAGGGCTGGGTCCACGCCCCTCACTGCTAACACAGAGTGTTGGAAGCAAAGGGGGCTGCCCCCCAGGGTCCACCTGAAGGAGCCGGGGTCCCAGCCTGGCCAGGTCTTCAGTTGTGGCCACAAAGTGGATATGCTCCCAGGAGAGTGGCAGCTGGTAGTAACTGCTCCTGTCTTTATCTGGCTCCTCGGAGCTCCGGCCAGCCTGGCCCATCCTACAAGGGGCAGAGATGAGGCCGCATCACACTGATACACGGGAGATGCAGGGCTGTGCCCTGAGGCCAGGGCTCCCCAGGCTGCCGGGCGCCCACCTCTCCTGCAGCCGAAGCCGGCTCAGCTCTTCAGCCACGGTTGTCGGCAGTCGCTCCTCAGGCAGGGAGAGGTCCTGGAGGCCCTGGGCAGTCCTGACCACGCCACCGTGGGCAGTCAGCAGTCGGAGCAGCTGGTCCTGCAGCCACTTGCTCTGCCCGACCAGGTCCTAAAGAGGCAGGCCACTCAGGACGTGATGGATACCCCAGACCTGCTGCCCGCCACTGAGCCGGCCCAGATAGAGCCTGAACCCGGAAGGGCAGCTGTGTGACACTGGGCCTCCACTGACACGCTGAGCTGCCCCAGCACCCCACTGGTCTACTCTGGCTGGGCAGCTGGTCCACGGTCAGAGAGCACACCCCTCTGCCCTGCTGCTCACTGGCTGGGATGCCCTTGATCCACAGCCTGCCTCTGTGGGTCCCCTTGTGTCTACCCTGGGGGGACCCTGAGTTTGGACACAGACATTTCACGGGGACCCCTCAGAACTTGGCACACACGAGGCTGAGCCCAGCCCTGCCCAGTCCCACCCAGCAAATCTGAGAGCATGAGGATGGGCGGGAGGTGGGGGGTGTGGGCCCTCAGACGCCCCTGAGGCCTAAACAGCCCCCCCACATCCTCTACCCGCAGCCTGGCTGCACTCTCCCCT